GATATAAAATATAATAAATATAAAAAAAATTTAATTATACAAGTATAGGAAATAAGTTAATTAAATAAGTTAGTTAAACAAATTCAGTAAATAATTTTAAATATTTATATTTACTATTTTACTAATATTTACACATATTCTTTTTATATTCATTATTTACCTAATTTAATTATAATTTAAATATAATATTTACCCGAACAAATAAATTATTGGAAGCTGACCTTGTGAGCCAAGTGACTTTAACCACTGTTGTAAGATTCATATCCTTCTCCCTAAAAACAACGGTTCGAGTCGGTCCCATGATTAAATGTTAAAAAAAAAAAAACAAATAAATTACTGATTGGGTATATATATCTGGAGTGCCCATCTTATGCAGTGAATAGCTTAATATTAATAGTCCACTAATAGCTCAACATCTTCGATTTCGGCCCAACCAAACAATTTTCATTTTTAAAAAGTGCATCAAGAAGCGGCCCAACCAAGTAACATGGTGGGCTTCCGGTTGGACCAAAAGATGGATGTTTAAGGTCTGAGGCCCATGAGTACAATACCTGCTAGACCGCTCCTGAATATAAAAACAGAACAGAGCACCAGCGCATTGAAAATCGGCAGAGACTACAAGACGAGTTCTATCGTAATTTCGGCATTCACAAAATAGTAGGCTTCCGTTATCCTATTGCTATTTACAATCGATCCTCCTAACTCATATTTAACATCGTCGTTTTCCTAGTTCCGTTAATTTCCGTTTCATGTATGAATTTTATTGATTTCTATCCGGCCTCTTCACCGACAATTGCCCTACCATCCGCGAAAGCAAAATCCAGATTACTGATCCATCTCCATCTAAATTACTTCAAATTCAGCGTAATTTAGTTTGATTTTGCTCTAATTATTGATTTTGTTAGCTCCGGGAAGTTAGTGTTTTGTTTAAAAAGCTTGATTTTGTTTCCATGAAAACGTTTCTCTATCTGGTTTGGGTGGGATTTGTTCCGTTCCTATATGACCTTGAAACAAGATTCATCATGTTGCTTTTTTATTATCTCTCCTTTAACTCTTTTCCTTCTTTTTTGGAAGAACGCTGGACCAACAAGAAATTGTTGGAATTGAAGTCTTGGACTCCCATCTAATTGGTCTATCAAAAGGCGTTACAATTAGCACATCTCATTCAATCTAAGAATTCAGTATCCAGAATACGAAAGTATTTCTATGTGGACAAGACCAAAAGAGACTGTTCATCGTTCATTACTAGGACTGCCGCAGGACATGGCAAGAAGTGCATCTGCTTCCCTGTAATCCTTTTAAGTTTGTTGTGGCTAGTAAATCTGTAGCAAAACTGATGTTAAAGGACAAAGACACTTCTGTATGTAGCAATACTGATGTCAAAGAACAAAGACGCTTCTGTATGTAGTCTTAGCGGAAGCACTAGATTTGGGCTATGCCTAAGCTGGAAAAAGGAAGTCCATAGGCTACTCTACTTGTCACACGCCTTGAAATTGGTAAATTTCCATACAAGTAGCAAGATATTGGGACACCCCACCTGCTGAGAGCACAATTGTACACCTACAAAAACTTGTATAATTCAGATTCAAGCAGGCATAAAACTTGGGTATATCATAAGAGTCTTTCTCAAAAGTGTAGGCATAATGGCTAATTAAGACTTACTAAAGATGAAGCAAGCATACCAGAATTATCTTACGTTGGATGATAGCTGTTTTGGTCCTTTCCTCCAGCAATTGTTTGCTTATTTGATGATGATCTGTTAAGAGTTAAAGTCAACGATCAGTGCAAAATAATTTGTCAAGGCCCATTCAATTGATAGTTAACTTTAATGTAGTTGAAATTAAAAAAATAAAATAAAAATAATACTTTGGGATCAAAGCTATATTTAAGGCTGACCGGCT